CCGGGCAGCCGCGGGGGAGGAGCGCCCGCCAGCCGATCGCGCGCCCAACGGACTAGGCTAAAGCCGTGAGGTAACTGTTGCAGCCCGCGGGAGCTGGGAGGAAACACCAAAGCTCCAGTCCCGAGAAGTGCCCGAGGGAAAAGGAGGGGGTCCTGCCGCAGCGGTCCCAGGCAGAAGCCCCTTCCGCCCCTCTCCTCAGCCAGCATGTCGCGGACCCCGCCGGACCCTGGGCCACGGCGGTGGGCGCAGCCCTGACGCGCTGCTGAGCCGGGGGGCTCCTCGAGCGCGGGGGCCAGGCGGGAAGGAGCGCGAGCTGCAGCTGCGGTCCGAGCGGGGCGTGCCGAACCCCTGCGGCCACCCCGCGTCCCGGCCATGAGGAGGGACGAGCGAGACGCCAAAGCCATGCGGTATCCGCAGCCGCCGGACGGGGCCGGCTCGCCCCTCGAGAGTCTGAGGAACGGCTACGTGAAGGGCTGCGTGAGCCCCCTGCGGCAGGACCCCCCGCGCGGCTTCTTCTTCCACCTCTGCCGCTTCTGCAACGTGGAGCTGTTGCTGCCGCCGCCGCCGCCGGCCTCCCCCCAGCAGCCGCGGCGCGGCTCTCACTTCTCCCGGGCGCGCCTCTCGCTGGGCGCCCTGGCCGCCTTTGTCCTCGCCCTGCTGCTCGGCTCGGGGCCCGAGAGCTGGGCTGTCGGGGCCGCCCGGCTGCGGACCCTGCTGAGCGTCTGCTCGCACAGCCTCAGCCCCCTCTTCAGCATCGCCTGTGCCTTCTTCTTCCTCACCTGCTTCCTGACCCAGACCAAGCGGGACCCCGGGCCGGGCCGGAGCGGTGGCGGCTCCTGGTGGCTGTTGGCGCTGCCCGCCTGCTGTTACCTGGGGGACTTCTTGGTGGGGCAGTGGGGGTCTTGGTCTTGGGGGGACGGAGACGCCGGGGTCCGGGCCCCGCACACGCCCCCGGCGGTGGCCGGCAGGCTGTTCTTGGTGCTGAGCTGCGTGGGCTTGCTGACGCTCGCGCAGCCGGGGAGGCTCCGGCACAGCATCCTGGTGCTGCTCTTCTCCGGCTTCGTCTGGTGGGTGTCCTTCACCAGCCTCGGGGCGCTGCCTCCAGCCCTCCGGCCGCTGCTGTCCTGCCTGGTGGGGGGCGTCGGCTGCCTGCTGGCCCTGGGGCTGGATCACTTCTTCCAAATCAGGGAAGCTCCCCATCATCCTCGGTTGTCCGGTACCGCGGAGGAAAAAGTGCCTGTGATCAGACCCCGGAGGAGGTCCAGCTGCGTGTCGTTCGGAGAAACTTCAGCCAGTTACTATGGCAGTTGCAGAATGTTCAGGAGACCTTCATTGCCTTGCATTTCGAGAGAACAGGTATGTTACCAGAAAGCAAAGTTTGGTAAGGAAGGGAGAGCGGTTTTATCGCTTCAGTTCCCGAGTTGAATTAGCGTGTTTGAAAGCATGCTTACTTCCATGGTGAAAAAAAGACAATTTTTTTCTGAAAAGAGTTCCTAAAATACAGGAAGCTTTAAAAAAACGCATAAGTACCATTTATCTTTGAATAGAAATGAAATAGCAGACTAAGCATGTTTCACTTTTTAAAGAGTTTGTTAATGTAGTAGATGCGTTCTCAGAAGAATGAAGTGAATTATTTGAAGTATAATAGATTGACTACTCCCACTTTGGCATAGTCTGATGTGTAGCTTTTTGGTGACATTTATCTGTTGCTGTTATAATGGTGATGTCTCCCCAAAGATAGCGTACAGCCATTAGAATGAGTGGGAAAAAAAGACATATATATGAATTTTAATCAGTGTGGTTTCATTATTCTTGATAATTGAGAGGACAAATCTGAGATCTCATAATAAAAAGAGAAAACAGTGATGAGTTTTGGAACAGAGACTTGTTAATTTAGATGAAAAGACTGTTGGGGATAATTATAAGAGATTTCTCCCCCACCATCCACCCCAAATTTCAGCAGTGTAGGCTAATATAATCTTTTACAGACTAACTCATGGTCCTGTGTGTTTGTTGCATAATTAGGAGAATGTTGTAACAATTTAACCTTTAAACTTAGTAATGTTTGGAAATATGCCAAAAGCATTTGTACAGTTTCTTTTCCTGTAGGTTTATATGCTTTTGTGTTTTAAAGAAATGGAAATCATCATTAGGGAAAGGGTTTCTATTTTTGTATAGCCTAGGGAAATCTTACCTGTTCTACATCACTAAGAAACTCACCAAGTATAGCTACTGTTCACAGAGCTTTACTAAGTGCAAAATGAAAGAGTTTCTATTTTTGTATAGCCTAGGGAAATCTTACCTGTTCTACATCACTAAGAAACTCACCAAGTATAGCTACTGTTCACAGAGCTTTACTAAGTGCAAAATCCTTATATTGTCTTAAACCCTCACAAGGACTTTGTATGGTAGGTGACATTAACCTCAAGTTAGAGATGAGCAAATTGAGGCTTGTAGAAATTATCCAACTTCACACATTTAGTAAGTGGCAGTGCTGGGATTTGAACCTAGATTTTTCAGTTTTCAGTGATGTCTTCTAAGCAACTGAAAGGATGAGTGTAGAGGTTTTCCTTAAGTAGGAGAGTAGGAGTCTATACTATTGGTTTTCAATCTTTTTGATTAGTGATATGCTTTACACCAGGGACCCAATATATTTGAAACAGAAGTTTCTTATTACTACATCTGATGCTCTTTGCTCTTCAATATAATCTACAAGCTATTACACTATCCTTAGTGCTCAAAGAGACAATACCTTGCTCCCTGAAAAGTGTTTTCAGAGGCTGCTTTGTGGTCTGTAGTTATTTGGCCAAATGCTTGAAAAAAATTGTTCAAAAAATATCATGGCTTTTGTTTTCTCAGTCTACTGCCAGTGATAATAGACAATGCTCAGAATAATGTGTATCAAGAGAAAAATTGTCAGAAGATTCACTGTAGAGCAGAGTCATATCAGCTATTTTCATAGCAGCTATATTCAGCTATTTTCATATATTGTATTTTTTAACACTAGGAAAGTGTTTTAGCACAGTTTCATCACATTTGTAAACAATTTTCCTGAGCTTAGCAGCGTTACAGTTTAACGTAACTTAATTGCAATATGTTGGCCTAGTGAATTATGGGTGTTACCTTATAAATTGAAAATTCCTGGTCTACTTGATCCTGGTCTGGTGCTCTTTCCATCACAGCAACCTTTTTTCAGCCATTAACTAGGTGCGGCATTGTTATGCTAGGTAGATTTATTAGTTGTATTAGAGGAAAATATTGTGCTTTTAAAATTTGTGCTTTTAAAAAGGGCATATTTTATTAGTGCAGAAAACCCTTATTCACATTGCACTATGAATAGGAACATTTTCTTGGTGGGGGGGGTGTTAAATATATGCTAGTAGTTCAAGGGTTTATACATGGTTAATGTTCAGTGTCATAACATAATACTCTTTCGGCAATACTAGAAACTACTAGATATTGTTAGCTTGGCAGAGACTGTAATAAAAATTTTTACTTATGCTTTTTCCTGAAGTTTAACAGTGGATCTGTGGTTTTGTTTGGAGGTATGTTATGTGAAAGAAATTAGGTGGAAACCAATACTTTTATGGAAGTAAAAGATCGAGAGATTTTCTAATTTTCAAAGTGCTAAACTTTGTATGTGATAATTGTAAAGTCACTCTCGTTTCAGAAAGTGAAGGGAGACAAACGGTTTTGGGTAGAAGCTGATATAGGGGAAAGTCTCCTGGATTCATAGAGGTTCAAGGGTAAAGTCTTAGCCCTGCTATCATATTGCAAAAGTTGGTGAGCCTTTCTGAGTCTGAGTATCCTGTCAAATCAGGGGATCCAGTAGGTGAATTCTATACCACCTTCCAATTCTAGAATTCATTTCTTTTAGTTAGTTTACACTTTTTGTAAGGTATAAATAAATGTATGACTAAAACTTCAAAAGTTAATAGATCTCGAAGTTTTACTTAAATGTTTAATGTTGATATTGCTAGCCTATATTTTCCAAGGTGTGATAATTGGAAAGTATGAACAAATATTCTGTATTATTTGAAGAGAAAGAACTTTTAACCCGTATATGTGGACTTTCATTTGTGGATTGATAAAATTATTACACTTTCATTTCCTTAAGAATTTAAACGTTTTTATTAACATCTTTGAAAAACAATTGAAAACTCATATTAATATAAATGTTTTTAATTGTGTGAGAGTAGATTCAAAGTAATTTTTAACATTTGGGATGTTATGTTAGATACTGTATTGAAAAATAGTGGCATATGTTTGTAAAACGTATGATTTTTCATAATTAGGTTTAAAGTTTAGTTACTGCTGACTGTTCTACCTTGGTGGGTTAATGGAAAGAAGCACTAAGTTTGTAGTATATTTGTGAAGAATCAGCTGGGACTAATAGGAAGTAAAAAAAAATTTTTTTTTACATCTACATAAGATGCCTTGGCCTGAATTTAACAAGCTACATTTCTGTGTCATTTTAATTATACATTCTACAATGCAGATTTCGGCTGTCAACCAGATCATTTCATGTGTGATAGGCTAGGTAAATATAAGGTTTTGAAAGGCATAAGTCTGTGTGTGAGATATTTTTCTATACCTAAAATGCTGAGTGCTTTCTAAATGGTTAGGTAAATATTTAAAAATTCTGTGGCCTTAAAGCCCATAAATATTATTTAAAGTGTTAATTTTGTTTAAAAAAGGATACGCATGTAGTATGAAGCCTTTTAAAAAAGATTTTAAAGTTTAAGTGATTATTTATTCCCCTAAGGAATCTGCAAGTCATAACCCACCATGAATTTTTTAAAGAATACTGTGGAATTTGTGAAATTTAATGAGTGAGTGTTTTATTCTAATTTCATGTTAATATTTTGTAGTGAAACATCAGCCTACGTAATATTTTTATGCTTTATTTTGTAAATATTGTATGTACCCTTGCCATCAGAGTTATCTTCCAAAAACACAGATTTGATCAAATCACTCGCTCTGTTTTAAAAATCTCTTACGGCTTTTCATTGTCCACAAAATAAAGTTCATGCCCTTGACCCGTGCTTGCAAAGTCTTAATAACCTGCTCTTGGCCTTGTTTTGTTGTTTTTGAAAGTCGTTAGGAGTTATGGAACACCTTCCCACATCCATCCACCGCTCTAGCTATTTGAGGACTGCTTATTGTTACTGACGTGTAGACTTTTTTCTTTTGATTTTACCATTCACACTGTTTGAAATCTCCTTTAAGAAACATATAAGATTAAGAAGTGTTTAGACACTACAGTGATGCTCAGACTAATGTATAAGCTGAGAACAAAACTCCATCCTAGTAGAGTTGGCCGGGTTTAAAAATAAAAGTTGACAAATCGTGTCAAGCAGTGATGTGATGATGTGTGATAGAATATTTTCATTATACCACATGAAATAGTAACATCTCCATAGTTTGTTTTCCCACAGTGAGTGGAAGGTAAATAGGGCCAACCATAAGTAAAACTTTGACTTTAGTATAGTTCAGTGATGTTTGTTTTCATTGTCCTCTGATTTTTCCTTAAGTAGGAGAGTAGGAGTCAGTGGCAGGAGCTCCTCAGTGGCAGGCGCTGCTCTGATTCTCTTCTTCCGTTTCAGTTACCAAGTCAGCCTGTTTCCCTAGCACATTCTCCTGCCTTCTTATACCCCACCCAAAGCAGGAAGAATCTATACTTGCTGAAAAAGTTTATTTCAACATAAATATGTTTATATAGATATAGAAGAAATAGAAGAGATTTGGAGTTTATCTAATTGAAATCTGCTCATTTTATAGAAAGGAAAAAAATTCAACTCCAGAGAGAGAAGAATATTGTTTCTAGGTTATGCCATACAGGGACTAGAACCTAGGTCTTGACTCCTAGTTCAGCTGTACTCTCCATTAAGAGCATATGCACCTGCAGTCATAGTTTTCCAAGGCTGGTCTTAATTTGCCAGCTATCTCTAATTATGTGATAAACAATGCCCCTGAGTAAAAGTGGTTGAGGATGGTGGTGGGAGAGAGGGGAGTGAGAGGTAGGAGGTACTCTTGAAATCACATAGTTCATGATGACCTTGAAGATAAACCAGAAAAAGAAAAAAAATGTCAAGTACTTACCACTCATTTTCTTTGTATAACCTCTTTTGCATCCCCTTCTCTCTGCCCCAGAGACAACACATCTATCTTGATTTTTTTTTTTGCTGTTCATTCCCTTGCTTATCGTTATAACTCCCCTAAACATATTACTAACTAATCTAAATAATATGTCAGTATTGTCTGCTTTTTTTTTTTTTGCGGTACGCGGGCCTCTCACCGTTGTGGCCTCTCCGGTTGCCGAGCACAGGCTCCGGATGCGCAGGCTCAGCGGCCAT